CCCCCCCCCCCCCCCCATCTAATTTGCATGCAAAATCCCAGACACCACTCAATGTGGGGAGAACAGGACACCAAGGTAACCAAGGATGACAGGTGTGCATTTAAATGACATGTGAAATAATAGACACGGAGGAGGTTGCGAGCGGGGGGTGGGATGCAGCAGCACCGAGAGCTGCGACCGGAGCCTACACAAGAGGAATAATGAGCTGAAAATTGCAGGTAATAGTGGCCATGAGAAGAGGACCTGAATGTAGGCAATTACTGCTGAATGGCAGATGACACAGAGAAAGACAGAGAGGAAGCTGGTTTTTTTTCTTAAAGTTTACATGGCGCTTCAGGTTACCGCCTGGTTTTAATAAAATAACAACTAGTCATCCATTGAGTGCTGCTAGACTTTCCGCACAGTAAACTTCATATGAGAAGTCATTACAGCCAACACACTATTTAAGAAATATTTGGTTGAATGTAGTGAACTAAGAAATGTTTTCAGATTTCAGACTGCCTGAATAGAAATGTCCATAATGTTTGGTGCTCTAGCGGTTAATAAACTGTGTGCGTCTTGCAGAAGAACATTGTAGCTGGAGCTACTTCTCTCTGTTTATGTCTATGATGAATCACGCAGGTACTGGGCTACTCTGCAGCAGTTCCACCAGTACCAGTCTGACATCAGTCATTCAGCGGAGACCCGCAACAAGCAGAGCGGTCCATGCTTTAATGCTCTTTGACTTCTCTCTTATGAAAGGGTACAGTGTCTGACAGGTTATCAAATAGCTCCACTCAGACAACTCCTCCAGTGACGCATCCAAATGAGACAGACTGAGAAAGAGAGGTAATTTAACCGTACAGCTTAACAAGGGCATTCTGTGATCCTGCATGTCGAATAGCATACAACTGACAAATATTGATTAGCCTATGTCTTGGACATAGTTCTTAATATTAAAGTTTTGTACATAAAACAAAACAACAATGTCTAACAGACATTTCTTGTTGGATGAAGGACCATCACCTTCAATTTGTCTAAGCAATAATATAAGGACACATTTAATCTATAATCTCATTTTGTAAAAAAAAAAAAATCGTGAATCGAATGGAGTCCTCGGCCATCTTCAAGAATCGGCTAAAAACACATCTCTTCCATCTTTATTTGACCCTCTAACTCTAGCACTCTCTATTCT